GACTCCTGTCCCTTCTCAGCCTCTTCTGGCCCCTGCCTCAGTTTACTGGATTTCCCTCCTGACCAGGCACCAGTATTCTCCCCCTCCCAGTGGAGTTCATTCCCTCAGAGGTTCTGGGCAGAGTAGACCCTCCTCTGAGCTTTTCACCTGGGGTTGGACCCTTGAACCCTGAGAGCTCAGAGCAGCCATGCTGGCAGCCGGGAGACTCTCTTGAGCGCTTACATCTGTCTGCTTCCCTGTGTGGGCTGGAGGGAGGGATTACATCTCCCCTCCTCCGGGGCAAGTTGTTTCTCCTCTTTTAGTATTGCTTTCCACCCTGGAGTAATGTTGGGTCAGGTATCTCCCAGCTTCATAGCACTGATTATTATTATTATTATTTTTTTGAGATGGAGTCTTGCCCTGTCGACCGGGCTGGAGTGCAGTGGTGCGACCTCAGCTCACTGCAACCTCCGCCTCTTGGGTTCAAGTGATTCTCGTGCCTCAGCCTCCCGAGTAGCTGGGATTACAGGCGTGTGTCTCCATGCCCGGCTAATTTTTTGCATTTTTGGTAGAAATGGGGTTTTACCATGTTGGCCAGGCTGGTCTCAAACTCCTGGCCTCAAGTGATCCACCTGCCTCGGCCTCCCAAAGTGCTGGGAGTGCAGGCGTGAGCCACCACACCTGGTTTGATAGCCTTTTTTGTTCTTCTTTGGATACTAGGTATTTCTCCTGGGTTCCAGGTGTTAAGCTAGGAGTCTAGGGACCTGTGTTCTAGACTAACTGTGCCCTGGGACATGCCATTTAACCTCTTTGACCCTCAATTTCCTCACCTGTTAAATGGGTACCTCACAAAATTGCTGTGCGATTCAAATAGGATAGTCTGCAAAGACGTGCTTTGGTGCCTGTGGATGACACCGGTGTGACCCTGACAGAGCTTTCTCTTGCCTGTTTGGCAGAGTGAGGGGTAATTGCCCTTTTTAGGAAACCCCCAAGATGTCAGCGGCTGATATTAAAATCTCTGACAATGGGAGGTCCTAGAATCTTGCCTCTGCTCCTCATTGAATCTGAGTGCACGTAGTTGGGTGTGAGGCAATTCTGGGCTGTTTGTAGGGCAGTAAGGCAATCCACATCGGAAGATAAGTGTGTCATGCTGGGTGAAAACTGCGTGCTCTAAGCAGTGAATGTGTTGGAATTTCACCGGGGTAGTGCAGCCTATGTGACCAGCGATCAAAGACTTTATGCAGAGGAAGAATTTGAACCAAATGAGCTCAGGGGGGCAGGTTGGAATTGGGAGGGAGGAGAGGAGGATTAGAGCAAAGTGGCCCTGAGAGGGGCTGCAGAGCAGAGACTGAGGGGAGGCCTGTGGGAGAGGAGAGTGGCTTGGCCGCCTTCGCCCTGCTTCCTGGAGTAACCTGGCCCAGCAGGACCGACCAGCATCAAAAGCCTGTGTCACAATGAAGTCCCCTAAGTAAGGCTATGGCCCCCTCCCTTCCCACCTCTGCCTTTCTAAGCAAAAAGGAACATCCTTCTTCTAGGAGTCTGTGCTGGAGGGAGACTTGGTGCCCTGTCTGTCTAGAATCTGCAGCTCCCTGGTAACCCTTTTTGGTGCATTTATAAGGGGGAATGAATAAAATCCCCTCCCATCCTGGGCCTTGCTCCTTGTCCCACTGGCAGGGGCAGGACAGACAGAGTTTGGTACGCCCTGGTGTCGCCACACCAATGAAAGCTGCTTGCTGACCACAGGCTGAACGTGCTAGGTGGCAGGTCACCCCTCCTGGACAGCGGCCCTCCGCCGTAATCCTCTCTCCTTCACTCTGGGTTCTCTGGTACCCCCTGTGCCATCTCCTTCTGTAACTTCTTCCCTTCTCCTTTCCTCCCCCCACGACACGGTACGCCAGCCCGAGCTTATCACCCTACCCTGAGCCAGCAGCATCCATTGTTCTCATGCTTGGGAACGGAGCAACAGGGGAAGTCACTCTGTGTGGGGCCAAGGAGGAAGGAAAGAGGGATGGGACTGGAATGGGTAGGTGATGGAAAAAGTGACTTCCAGCCATTCCCTGGCCTGACCTGGATGGCAGCTTAGAGTGGTTGCCATGGTGATAGCCAAACACCCACACCCCTCCCCCACAGCCCCAAACTGCGCACTGGTGGTTGTGCCTTTTCCCAGCTCGAACCCCTCAGGCTTCTGCCTGCTGTGGAGTTCAGTTTCCTCAGGTTGAGCGGCCCTTGCCTCAGTTTCCCAGCCTGACCAAAGGAAGCAGGTGGGGCCTCTGGGATAAAGAGCGTGTGCTGGCCCCTCCCTGTGTGCCCCGCGGACACGCACTCCACCCCGCTCCCCATGCCCCGGGGCCCCAGGCTGACTTCTGCCTGCTTCTGCCAGGCTCCCTTTCGGTCAGCCAGCGGGAGGTACAAGCAGGAATTGGAGGGTGAGAGGGGAGTAGAGGGGGTACCCACTCCCTGCTGGGCTGCTGGTGGGCAGTGGCTACCTCCCTCTCCTGAAGGCCACGGCGCCTGTCAGCAGCTCCCGCCGAAGCTCCAGGTCTCCTGGCTCGGGTTTGCTGCTCCTTCCCCTGCTCCCCAGCCCTGGAGGGGAGGGGCCTCGGCTCTTGCTGGCCGCAGTGGGCCTCACTGTCCCTTGTCCCTTGTGGATGTCCGTCAACGCCGCCCACCTCTCTATGATAGGCTGTTCTGTAGAATTCTCCTTGGTCACCCCTTTTGGATATATTCTGTTTGCTGCTGAGACCCTGAGTGCTACAGAGAATGTCTCAACAATGAAGGGGGAGGCTGGGCGCGGTGGCTCATGCCTGTAATCCCAGCGCTTGGGGTGGGCAAGGTGGGCAGATTGCCTGAGCCCAGGAGTTTGAGACCACATGGCGAGACCCTGTCTCTACAAAACTACGCGCACACACACACACACACACACACACAATATTTAGCCGGGCATGATGGTGCATGCCTGTAGTCCCAGCTACTCAGAAGGCTGAGGTGGAAAATCACCTGAGCCCTGGAAACCAAGCCAAGCCAAGCAGTGCTGAGCTGAGCAGTGAGCTGAGATCGCGTCACTGGACTCCAGCTTGGGCAATGGAGTCTGTCTCAAAACAAAAAAAAGGAAGGCAGCTGTCTCAGGGCACCTTTTTTTGTGGTCAGGGCTCTGGCAGGCTGAGTGTGTGGGTGGGGTGGCCTCCCAGGTGTAATCTGAGATGCACCCAGAAGGCTTCCCTGCCTGGAAATAGCCAGGCTGAAACCTGAAGTTTGAGGGCCATTTTTGTGGTCTAAAAACTTTCCGTAAAGATACCACATTCCCCAGGAAGGTGGGCATCGTAGCCAATCATTCATCTCTCTACCTGCCTTAGTTTCATCAGATAGGAAGCTTGACTGCAAACTTCAGAAATGCAAAGACTGTGTCTGTCTTCACTGTGTAGACATGGGGCCTGGTGCTGAGTAGGTTGAAATAAACATCGGTTGAATAAACTTATTTACCACTCAGCAGTGAGTGGTGAGTGCCTACTACGTTCCACTGTGTTCCAGCTGGAGTCGTTGGGAAGCAGAGTTTTCATTCTGCTAGGGTTGCTCAGGACTATGAAGTTAGGTGGGGAGCTGTTGCTGCGTGTCTCAACACTGCACTTTTCCAGGTGCACAGGGCCAAACCCCTTGCAGCTACCTTTGACTCTGTGTCACGCACCAACACTCAATCCATTAGGAAATCCCGCAAGGCAGATCCGAACCCAGCCACTCCTCACTCTGTCCATGGCTACCAGCTGGTTCCCCCACCTGGAATCCTGCTCGACCTCCTCGCTAGTTTCCTAACTCCCACCTTCCCCACCTCCCACAGTCTATGCTCAACACGAGTCAGAATGGCCTTTATTTATTTATTTATTTATTTAAGACTGAGTCTCACTCTGTCGCCAGGCTGTCTCCTGCCTCAGCCTCCCAAGTAGCTGGGACTACAGGCACGTGCCACCACATCCAGCTAATTTTTTTTTTTTTGGTATGTTTAGTAGAGACAGGGTTTCACCGTGTTAGCCAGGATGGTCTCCTGACCTCGTGATCTGCCCGCCTCCACCTCCCAAAGTGCTGGGATTACAGGCATGAGCCACTGCCCCTGGCCTCAGAATAACCTTTAAAGCTAAATTGGGCCAGGTACTGTGGCTCATGCCTGTAATCCCGGCACTTTGGGAGGGCTAGGCGGGTGGATCATGGAGTCAGGAGATCGAGACCATCCTGGCCAAAATGGTGAAACTCCGTCTCTTCTAAAAATACAAAAATTAGCTGGGCGTGGTGGTGCTTGCCTGTAATCCCAGCTACTCAGGAGGCTGAAGCAGGAGAATCACTTGAGCCCGGGAGTTGGAGGTTACAGTGAGCCACTGCACTCCAGCCTGGCAACACAGTGAGACTCCATCTCAAAAAAAAAAAAAAAAAAAGACATAAGTTGGATAATGCTATATTTTCACTCAAAGCCCAATAATAGTTTCCCAGGACACTTAGAGTGAAACTGAAGTTCTTGCACTGGCCTCTGAGGTAGGCAGCTTCTGGCTCAGGTGATCCCAGCCTCCTGGTGGTCATGCCCTTGTGTAATCCCCTCCCCTGAGCGTGGGCTGAACCTGGTGACTTACTTCTAACCTATAGAATACTGCAAAATGGGGGGAGGGGAGGGCAGGTGGCTCACACTTGTAAATCTCAACATTTTGGGATTGAGATGGGGGGATTGCTTGAACCCAGGAGCTTGCAACCACCCTGGGCAACATAGTGAGATCTGATCTTTACAAAAAATACAAAAATTAGCCAGATGTGGTGGTGCACATCTGTAGTCCCAGCTACTCAGGAGGATGAGGTGGGAGGATCATTTGAGCCTGGGAGGTTAAAGCTATAGTGAGCTGTGATTGCACCACTGCACTCCAGCCTGGGCAACAGAATGAGACCCTGTCTTAAAAAATAATGATAATAATAAAGAGTATATGGTAAAAGCAGTGGATATGGCTCCTGAGATTAGGTTATGAAAACCTGTGACTGCTGTCTTGCAGGCTGTCTCTCTCCTTCTTGGCTTGCGTTCTTTGCTGCATCAAGCTGTGTTGTTGGAGGAACAGTGCGAGGCCTCTGGCCAGTAGTCAACAAGGAACTGAGAGCCTCCGTCTAGCATCTGGTGAAGACCTGAACCCATCAAAGCCCGGTGAGTCAGCGTGGAAGTAAGTGGCTCATTGCTTCTCCATTTGAGCCTTGAGATGACAGCAGCCCTGGCCAGCAGCAGCTCGCAGCCCATGAGGAATCTTTTTTTTTTTTTGAGACGGAGTTTTGCTCTGGTTGCCCAGTCTCAAAAAGAAAAGAAAAGAAAAGAAAAATTTGATGAATGAACGAATGAATGAAGAATACACCTGAAAATGAGGGAAGCAGAGCTGGTAAATGCCCAAAGTCAGACCAACCCCTGGTGGTGCCATGTGTACCCTGGAGCCCACCGTGCCTGAATGGTTCGGGTCCACAAAACCGAAGACTTTCGTTTCCTGCATCGGCCAGTCTGAATGAGGTTTACCGTCACTTGCAACCAAGAGTCCTGAGTAATATATGGGATTACTGGGGAATAGAGTGTGGCCGCGAGGCTGAAGGAGGACAGGAAGGGAAAATGTAGGGAGAGAGAAAGGGAATGGCGGGGCAGCCATTGTGAGCCTCTACTGTGCGCCCAGTGGTGGGATGGCTTTTCCTTTTTTTTCTTTTTTTTTGAGGTCTTTTGTGCCAGCTGGTCAGTGGATTCAGCTCAAGCTGTTTACGCATTTCGTCACTGTAGCTCTCTGGCATTTTTTTTTTTTTTTTTTTTTTGGTTGCTCTTTTCCGTTGTATTGGATTAAGTTGAGAGGCGGCTTTTTTTTTGTATGTCACTTTGCATTCTCCTGACAATCTTGTGAATTAGGTGTTGTTCCTCCCACTTCACAGTGAAGAAACTGAGTGAGGTTAAGTGCCTGGTCTAAGAGCACAGAGCCAGTGAATGGCAGAGTTAGAAGAAAATCCAGGTCTTTCTGATTTTAAAATCCCATGCTTTCCTGGTGGTTTATTTGTTTTTCTCTCTCTCTCTTTTTTCTTTTTTGCATCGTGGATTGGCCAAAATCTCCAAATATTTTCACTACTGCTGGAGCCCTGGCAAAGGCAGCAAGCGGGGTGGCTGCCGGAGGCTGGGGATGAGGAAGGAAGGGAGGAGGGTACCTGTGAGGGCCCTTTGTAGGCAGGTATTTATAAAGCTGGGCCTTCTCCCTTGTAACAAATATCGGTGATATTTCTCCTGGCTCTTAGATGGGGGAAGGTGTCCTCACCTCTGTTCCCAAGTACACATCCAGGGAAGGCAGTGCCTGGAGGTCAGGTGAGGCCAGGCCGGCCTGGAGAGGTGAACTAAGGCTGCTGAACTGAGGGCATCCTGGAGGTTTTTGGTGCACCATATGAATGCCCCGCCTACAGCCCCCTCTGAGGGAAACTGAGCTTCTCCCCGGCTCCCTGCTGCCCGTTCCTAGGGCATGCATTTCCTGTCCTGACCCACATGGCCCTGTCCCCTCTGACCTCAGCTGACTGGCCCAGCATTGGGCACCCTGCCCAAGGGCAGCCCCATCTAGCTGACCAGGGGTCCCTGGGGGGCTTTGGTGTCTGAGCGATGTGATGAACTGGGCCTCCTGGTAGAGGGGGCAGAAGCAGGAAGACACACAGAGAAAGCAGAAAAAGAGGTAGCCCACTAGAGAGATGGCCATTTCGGGCCTGGCGTGGGCGCCTGAGCGCCGTCTGCTCTCTGAACAGGAGGCTTGCTGTGTGGCTCCTCCTGGGGCCCTCAACTCTTCCGTCCCTTTGTGCTTTCAATTCTGGACAAGAATCTCTTGTTTTGTAAATTTTTTATTATTTTTAAATTAATATTTTATTTTTTAAAATATTAACTTCCCATATAACTTCCCATACTACACTGATGTATATTTTTAAGTTTATACTTTTTTTTTTTTGAGACAGGATCTTGCTCTGTCACTCAGACTGAAGTGCAGTGGTGCCATCATAGCTCACTGAACTCCTGGCCTCAAGCAGTCCTCCTGCCTCGGCCTCCCCGGTAGCTGGGACTACACCTGTGCTCCACTGCCCTATTTTTATTTGTTTATTTATTTGAGATAAAGTTTCGCTGTTGTCACTCAAGCTTGAGTACAATGGTGCAGTTTCGGCTCACTGCAACCTCTGCCTCTCAGGTTCAAGCAATTCTCCCTGCCTCAGCCTCCTGAGTAGCTGGGATCACAGGCGTCCACTACCACGCCTGGCTAATTTCTGTAGTTTTTAGTAGAGATGAGGTTTCACCATGTTGGCCAGGCTGGTCTTGAACTCCTGACCTCAGGTGATCCATCCACCTCGGCCTCCCAAAGTGCTGGGATAACAGGCATGAGCCACCGCGCCGGCCTATTTTTGTTTTTTGTAGAGACAGGGTCATGCTATATGTTGCCCAGGGTGGTCTTGATCTACTGCTTAAGCAATCCTTCCACCTCAGCCTCCCGAAGTGCTGGGATTATAGGCATGAGCCACGGCACCTGGTCTCCCCTCTTTTTCAGTCTAGCTTGAGTGGGAGCAATTGTGATAACCCAGAGGCAGGCAGGATAGTCTAGGCTGCAGAGCCTGACGTGGTCTGTCCCCTGTCATTCACAAGGATCGTGAAGCTGGGGCCTGTGGCCTCCCACATATGTGCCTAGGGCCACTGGTTCCTGTGGTTCATATGGATGCCTCAGGGCCAGAGCCTCAGGGAGGGGCAAGGATGTGGGCTGGAACCTGGAACCATGGGGAGGGAATGGAGGGGCTTAGGGGAACATGGTTTTCAGTCGTGACATCACAACATACCTTAGTCGTGGGTGTTTTAAGTAATTTGTTACTCATAATAGCCAAAGCACTTGCGTGTATTTTAAAGCACATATTTGCTTCTGTAACCATGTCAAATTTCCAAAGGCCCAGACGGGTACACACTGAAAAGTCCCCTTCCTTCCCTCTGGGCAGCTCCCTCCCTTGAGGCACCCATCCTTACCAGAGTTTGGGCATCCTTCCAGAAACGTTCTGTGCACCTGTAAGCAAACACTCTTGTATGCATTCCTCCTTTCCCTTATTTAGTACCCAAATGTTAGCATATTATTCCCATTACCCTGCACCTTGTTTTTTTCATTTGTGAATAATTAGCTTTCCCTCCAGTGAGGGCAGACGCTGTCACCTGTAGGACAGCCTCACTTGGAAGACCTAGGTTTAGGTCTAAGGCCCCACAAACACGCCCAGGGCCTTAATCCCCCTCGGGTTCAGTTTCCTTCCCCCAAACAGGAATGAGGACGTGTTAAGAAATTGTCTTAGGCCTGTTCCCTGGGGCTGTTGAGGATGGAATGAGGACGTGTTAAGAAACTGTCTTGTGAATTGTCTAGTCCTAGGCAGTGAGCGGTTACTGTCAGCCGGACAGATTCAAAAGCTTCTCATCCATTTTCCCTTAAGGATGTGTCTGGCCTTCTCTGCTTACTCCCAGCCACCTCCCCATTCCCAGCTGAAGGCGTCATCTCCTCATGGAACTTCCCTCCCACACAGACCTGCCTGTTTATGGGCATCCGCTCTCCACCTCACCTCCCTTCCGCCACTCCCTCTTGGGCACCTGAAACTGCGTCTGCTGGAGTGCAGCGGCGCAAATACAGCTCACTGCTGGCTTTTTTTTTTTTTGAGATGGAGTTATGTTCTGTCACCCAGGCTGGAGTGCAGTGGCGTGATATCCACTCACTGCAACCTCTGCCTCCCGGGTTCAAGTGATTCTTGTGCCTCAGCCTCTCCAGCAGCTGGGAGTACAGGCATGAGCCACCAAGCTCAGCTTTTTTTTTTTTTTTTGTATTTTTTTGTAGAGACAAGGTTTCCCTATATTGCCCAGGCTGGTCTTGAACTCCTGGGCTCAAGTGATCTACCCACCTCAGCCTCCCAAAGTGTTGGGATTATAGGTGTGAGCCCCTATGCCTGGCCCCTTCATATGTGCTTGTTTTTTTTTTTTTTTTTTTTTTGAGACGGAGTCTCGCTCTGTCGCCCAGGCTGGAGTGCAGTGGCCGGATCTCAGCTCACTGCAAGCTCCGCCTCCCGGGTTCACGCCATTCTCCGGCCTCAGCCTCCCGAGTAGCTGGGACTACAGGCGCTGCCACCTCGCCCGGCTATTTTTTGTATTTCTTAGTAGAGACGGGGTTTCACCGTGTTAGCCAGGATGGTCTCGATCTCCTGACCTCGTGATCCGCCCATCTCGGCCTCCCAAAGTGCTGGGATTACAGGCTTGAGCCACCGCGCCCGGCCTCTTTTTTTTTTTTTAAGACGGCATTTCACTCTTGTTGCTCAGGCTGGAGTGCAATGGCGCAGTCTTGTCTTACTGCAACCTCCACCTCCCAGGTTCAAGCAATTCTCCTGCCTCAGCCTCCCGAGTAGTTGGGATTACAGGCATGCACTACCACGCCTGGCTAATTTTGTGTTTTTAGTAGAGATGGGGTTTCACCATCTTGGCCAGGCTGGTCTCAAACTCCTAACCTTCATTAATCTGCCCACCTTGGCCTCCTAAAGTGCTGAGATTATAGGTGTAAGCCACCGTGCCCAGCCTCTTCATATATTTTAATTGAACATTTAAGGAACCTTTTGTGTCAGATGTTGTTCTAAGCACTGGGATGTGCTAACTCCGTTTTCCCAACTACAACCCAAAGAGGTAGGTACTGTTACTATCCATTTTGTTGTGTTTTTTTTTTGTTTTGTTTTTTTTTGAGACGGAGTCTGGCTCTGTCGCCCAGGCTGGAGTGCAGTGGCCGGATCTCAGCTCACTGCAAGCTCCGCCTCCTGGGTTTACGCCATTCTCCTGCCTCAGCCTCCGGAGTAGCTGGGACCACAGGCACCCGCCACCTCACCCGGCTAGTTTTTTGTATTTTTTAGTAGAGACGGGGTTTCACCGTGTTAGCCAGGATGGTCTCGATCTCCTGACCTTGTGATCCGCCCGTCTCAGCCTCCCAAAGTGCTGGGATTACAGGCTTGAGCCACCGCGCCCGGCGTGTTTTGTTTTGTCTATTTCTTTTTTAGAGATGGGGTCTCCCTAGGTTGTCCAGGCTGGTCTTGAACTCTTGGAGTCAAGTCATCCTCCTGCCTCAGTCTCCCAAAGGGCTGGGATTATAGGAGTGAGCAGGTTTA